GGCATTGAATGTTCTCTGCCCTGACTGGATCTTAGTGTCCCATGTTGTAGTGTCTTAGTCAGTACCGCATCATTTTTCTTTTCCTTTCTAATTTTAAATGAAATCCTGACGTAAATATGTTTCCTTCCGCAGGAGTTGTACCAGAAGTTGACGGATTATGATATCCGTTTCTATATGTTTGAACTACTGAAGGTGAGACTTTTGATTTCTCTTTTTTTTTCTTTTTTTTAAGAAGTTGCATGTCATGAATCAGACATTTTCCAACTTAGTCTCTATTTTTGGCACGGTCCTGGGAATTCAAAATACTGTGTACAGCACAAACCTTTACATATTTGTCTGCTCTGATAATACGTGTGCGTGTGTGTGTGTGTGTGTCAGGCTCTGGACTACTGTCACAGTATGGGAATCATGCACCGTGACGTCAAACCCCACAATGTGATGATCGACCACCAGTTGAGAAAGGTAGGCGGTGCCCTATATAGTCTTTTTTTTTTTTTTTTGTCTTCACACACCCACACACACTCTAAATATTCTTTCACCCTGCTATTTCAGTCTCTCTCTCTCGCTCACACAAACACTTTAGATTTTTTTCTCTGTGGCTCTTCATCTTTTCATTCCTCTGTATTTTTTTGGTTTTCTTTCATACTCTCTTTGAAAAGGAGATTATTGTTGCTTTGTAATGATTCTGCATTGGAACTTATGTGGTGTCGCTGTAATGTGTTTGAGTACAGTCGGAATAATGTCCATCCATGTTAGTAGCCATAACGACTGGCTGCTACTATAACTAGTAGACAGTATTGCTATAGTTCTTTTTTTTGTTGTTGTTTTTTACAGCACCAAATGTAGTTACATAGTAACTACATTTGGTGCTGTGAGGTTACTTCCAGGGGGCAGCAGGCTAAAACGGATCAACCCCAAAGAGCTCTTATCACACACACCTATAACTGTGTGTTTCTCTAACCAAACGTGGTCGTAGGTTTCACCTGTTAAGTTACACTTTTTTCTTCTTATTTTCAGTCAAGTTGAATGAGGATGAATTGTGTGTTTCCACAGCTACGCCTTATAGACTGGGGTTTGGCAGAGTTCTACCACCCATCCCAGGAGTACAACGTCAGAGTGGCCTCACGATACTTCAAAGGCCCCGAACTCCTGGTGGACTACCAGGTAACACACACACACATACTCACACCTTGAACCAGCCCCATCTTTAAACACCTTTTAGAGATACAAAAGATAAAAAACGTTGCCAGTCACACACATTTGAGAAAGCGTTTGTCAGCACACATGGATAATTCTGATGTCTGTGTTTTCATCATCGGCAGTGCTGTTTGATGATCTTGTGTTTCAGATGTATGATTACAGTCTTGACATGTGGAGCTTGGGCTGTATGCTGGCCAGTATGATTTTTCAGAAAGAGCCCTTCTTCCATGGACAAGACAACTACGACCAGGTGCGTCCGGCACACATGTGCAGCTCTGACTACTGTTAGTTTTGTCCGTTTTTTCATATTTTTTTTTTCATATTTAGTCAACCACAGCCAAAGTTTTAGTTGACTAAAAGTCTTGGCATTTCAGTCTTGCTGTAGTTTAGTCAAAGAAAAACTCTTAATTATTGAAGTAAAGTTTTAGTCAGTGGAAACTGTTGCCTTTTATGGTCGTTTTTTGTCATCAGTTTATATTCACCATTTCTAGTCTCGCCAAAATCACACCTTGCATCTTTCTCCCAAGCCCTGTTGTTGACATTGTTAACTTTGAATTAAGGGTTGCCGGTGTCGTCCCGTAATGCCGAGCACTGCACAGGAAACGGAACTCCAGCATGGAAATTAAAAACCAGCCTATAAGGGGTGGCCGATGATTCAATCTATTTACTTAAATCACTCATCGAGATATCATGAAGCACAACTACGATTGGGAATTGGGAAATTGAGAAAAGTCTTGAGAAAAAAGTATGTAATTCACACAAGAGTATACAAAACCTTACGGTTATTTCATATATACAGTATCATCATGAGCCCGTTTTCTATGTTGTATCGTGATATATGTCGTTATCGCGATATGGAATGACCTGATATTTGAGGTAGGAGATTTTCGTCATATCGCTCGGCCCTACCATAATATTTTGTCTGTTTTTTTTTGTTGTTTTTATTTTTTAAACGACATTTTAATCTCGTCTTTTTTCGTCAAAGACATTGCATGTTAATATATTCGCAGTTAGTGTTCAATGACGCCGGTCACCGCCTCATCGTAGTCATTTTGTTGTATTTAGTCATAGTTTCAACACTGGCTCCTCGGGCTGTTCATTGGCAAGAATCTGGCGATACGATGCGCATCAAGATACAGGGGTTACGATTCAATATATTGCAAATATACAAAATATTACGATTTCAAAAATCTAAATGTAGGAAAGCTCTCATATTATACAGATTACGCCACCATATCCATAACATTACAGTACATTTGTTTTACTTTTTATATGTAATCCGGAAAGTGATATCTACATATGCATTCATCACGCTCCCTGTAACGTCCAACATCATAGCGCTACGGTTTGATATCTTAATGCTTAAACACAACACAAAATGAATCAGGGATCCAGGTTGATCAGAGAGAGAAGGATGTCGAACAACAATGTAGATTTACCATAGAGGCTGACAACCATCTTGACATTTGCGAATGCTTAGTGAGTAACCGTATCAACCATAATGTGACAAAGATCTCATTATATTTCAAAGTGGAACTCAGAGTTTAATGTATTTTCTTTTTCTCTTTCAGTTGGTGCGAATTGCCAAAGTCCTGGGGACGGACGAGCTGTTCGGCTACCTGCGCAAATACCACATTGAACTGGACCCGCGCTTCAAAGACCTGCTGGGACAGTAAGTCACACTTTTTCCTCTTTGGATTCCCATCGCACTGTCGCACACGGTGGCTGCTCAGGGCTGCATGTGCCCTCCTCTGACTCAGGAAAATGGCATTTGAAATGATCCTTGATACAGTAAAAGAAAGTAAGTTTTAACAATATGAAATCTGTTGTTGGGTTTAAACTGCATCACAGTGGTAGTTACAAACATTAGTTCACCTTTTCCACTGCGGCTCTTGTGTAATGTTCTGAATTGAGACTTGGAGGGAAACGTCTTTGGCACCAGCCTGGGCTGCACAGTCACAGACTCTGGGCCCTCGCCCTATTTTTAGGCCTCTGCTTGAAAATTGCATACCCATACTAAAAAGAGTTTATTTCTGCAACTACAAGTTCTATTTGAATAATTTTGATGTTATAATAAAGGTAACACTTGTGAGATTTGTTCAGATCTGTAAATATCAGTGTATATGTTATTTGTTAAAAGTAAATGAAGATGGCACACAGCTCAAATTGAAAAGTTTCAGGTTCGCCTGAAAAAAAAGCACTTTTATTGTTATTATTTCTTTGGAATGATGCAGTGGCAAGTCTAAAACCTCTCCCAAATCATAGCACAATATGTCAACAGTCTCTGTGCAAAGTTTGACTTTGATAAAGTGAAGCAAAACAAAAGTAGAGAGCTTTTAGTACAGAGAGGTCAGGCGAGGTCACCCAAATTGTAATTTTGGAACCAGCTGTTCCATTGTAATTTGCTATACTATATAACTAAATATTTCACTTGTTTGATCACTAATAGTGTTCAATACATCCAAATACAGCAGTTTGGCTTCATTTTGAGAGCCAGAATCTTCTCTGAGCCTTTTTGTGTCTGTGATCCATGGATCCATTCTCGTCTGACTGCAGTTTATCTGTGTCTATGCAGGCCTAAGTCAGCAGCCCATTGGTTGATTTCAGTCAATGAACCCTCCTTCGACGCGTCTGAGCCTATAGAATTGAGCTGGGACAACATGATATTGATTGACAGAATCGTTAGCCAGTCAGAATCAAAACTGCGCCGTCCCTCGCGAAGCGTAAAATCTGATACGCCGAAAGTCAAATCGTCCCCCCCCTCGTACCCTGCCTTATAAAAGCCCCCTGTCATCACGGACACTGTCACACAGGATATATGTAGAACAGTTTTTTTAGCTCCAGAACCGGGAAATTATGCCTTTGTCTTCATGATACAGCGTAAAGGTGAGCATTTATGATTATTAGCGGTAAAGCGGTTTGTTGTTCTGGTGCTTGTTGGCTGTATCTCTGTAATGGTTTCACGGAGAGACATTTTGAAGATATCTCTGGAATCTGTGTCAAATTCTCTTGCTTTCTGATATAGTGGTTGTCCGTGTTAGCTTTGTGTTGGTAGCTTTGTCCGGAGTGCGTAGCTCGCGGACTCATGGTGAAAAATACGTGATATTGTGGTAAATCTTCTAGTTGATTATATTGTATAATGTAGAATTGTGTTTGGAGTGTGTAAAAATGGCTTGCATTATATTGTTGCCCAGACTTTGTTTTTTAATCTGGTATATAACATGTATACATGCATTATATTCGCTCTCGATGAGTGCATTTTTTCGACGGTATATGCTACCCCCTCTGGTACCGAGAGCCCCCAAATTTGGGGGCGTAGGGCTTAACTGGTTTTAACGGTACCCCGTCGAGTTTCCCTGTAAACGTTGATGGGCAAATTCACAAAGAATGGATTGTAGCCACTGACGGCACCGAGAATCAATCATCACTTGCAACAGCCATCTGTCCCGTCTCAAGGTCCGACTCAAAAAAGATAATGCGCTACTGAAATTATAGCACAAACAAAGTTTTGCAGCTGAGTGCAATTTGTCCTTTTTTTTTGCATCTGATTGCAGTTATCTGTCGCTTTTGCTCCACACAGTAGGCAGAACAATTGCAGAGAGAAAAAGATACATCAGGCAAGGATTTCAAATGTGACTGATAACATGCCGGTTTGTCACTCCTTGTCACCAACCAAACTCTCTGAAGACGCTTATACTGTAACTGCGTGTGACTGCTTTTGCAATGAGGCTCATTTGCATAGAACAGGGGATGATTTTTCACCAGATGTCTGCAAACCACCTCATTTAAATACGTGCAAATAGCACAGGAGCACCATCATCACTATAAGCTGTTTACACTATTTATACACACATGCATACATACAGAGATGGGCAAAAATACATCAAAATGTATTTTGATACAAAATACAAAATACCCCTCAAATAAATGTATCAAAATAAAATACAAAATACCGGTGCCAGAAAATGTAACAAAATACAATACATATATTTAGTATTTAAAATATAGGAAATACTTTTTTTTCTGGATTTTCCGTTTTCTCACAATTTGGTAGAGCAGAGCATTCAGGTTTGGGCTATATAATGTAATAATAATATAATATAATTATATATAATGCACACAAAGCTCTGGTGAAGCCCACAAAAAGGAAGAACAGTCACAGACATGTCAGTGTAATAAGCACATCTGTGCTTGTTGATGGTCCTTCTTGAACATCATCTTGCTGAGACATGTTGTCCACCTGGCCAACTGTAAAATGTATGAAATAATAAAACTAAGAATACTTTCACAATATGCCTTTTAAATAAAATAAATTGGATATTTAATGTTTTTTTTTTTTAACAAATGGACATCTACTGTCATAGCCTGGCTAACTGTGAACTATATTATCTGCCAGTAATTGATATGGCATTATGACATTCACATTGAGAAGATACAGCATAACTTGTAATACAGTGCAAGATTAGATCAGACGTCTCTTGATAAGGTTATCATGAACATACAAGCTCCCAATCTCCCTCTTATAGCTAGCTACTCAACTGATAAGTTAACTTGCTATGCACTAGCCTAGACAGCATGCTAGCGTCATTAGCATGTTAGCATTGAGCTTGATATTATAACCATCACCATGTATATACAATAGGCTATGTAGCCAGACCGACATCAATTATACATCACGCTAGTTGACATCTGTCACACTCAGATAAAATATTTAACTTGACAGACAACCCGTTGAACTTGAAGATCTGAAGACTGAACTCGTGAACTGTTTTTTGATTCGTGGAGAAAGTATTTTGAGTATTTTAAATATAAAATTACTCCACTCTAAAGTATTTTGTTACAAATTACGTTCGATTTTTATCGGCCCTATCAAATACAAATTACAAACTACTCAAAAGTAATTGAAATACGTATTTCAAATACAAATAATAGAAATACTGCCCATCTCTGCATACATACATATATTTATATATATTTTTATATTGTTTGTCTCTCAATTTGGGGTAGCTAAGCATGACCTATGACCTTTCCATTGAAGGTGGATGAAGGGATATTTGATGTGCTAATCAGATCGATAAAGTAAACGAATAAACAGGAGCTCACATCGGTCAGTAAATTAATGTCAGCACCATCAGTAGACGTCTCCTCAGCAGGTGTGTGTGTGTGTGTGTGTGTGCGTGTGTGCGCGTCTGCAGGCAGAGCAGGAAGCGCTGGGAACAGTTTGTGCAGACGGAGAACCAGCACTTGGTGAGTCCTGAAGCTCTGGACCTGCTGGACAAGCTGCTACGCTACGACCACCAACAGAGGCTGACCGCTACCGAGGCCATGGAGCACCCTTACTTCTGTAAGCGAGACACACACACACACTGCTGACACAGGGATCTTTGGTGAGGGGCTTGTAGCATTTAGATGTAAAGACCTGAAAATACTTGCGGTGTGTAGTGATTGTGGTTCGGAGTGTCAGGTCAAAACACTCGCTGCTAGCTTTTCCTACCAAATTCCCCCTCAATCACATCGGTGTTGGTCTCAAATACTGAGCGTTCACGTGGGAGTCATTAGGCCCTAGCATCCTTCTGTCTGTTCCTCCATTATAACGACTCTACTGCCCACTTAAGGTCTTTTAGAGTAGTCCTGAGCACTGAAGTTTGTTCCTCTCGCCTCCTGCAGACCCAGTAATAAAGGAGCAGTCTCTGTCGAACTCTGACAACATGGTATCCAGTAGCAACACCACGGCGCGATGAAACGCAGGTAACGGTTCGAAAAATGTATACTTTGTTGATTCCTTTTAGATGAAGACATCTTTTATTTTAATTTTTTTTGAAAGTTTGACATTATTTACATGATAAAAAATTTGAAAATACACAAATGTCGGCGATAGATCCCCAATAATTTGCCTCACAAACGAACCACATTGCAAACTATTATCTCTATTTTTTTTGTAGCCCTTCAAAACTAAATCCACCATGATCACCACCGTAGGTTATTCACATTACAAGGCTTAATGCTCAATTCCAGTTATCTCCCCCCCCTCCACACACACACACACACACACACACGCGCGCGCACTTTCATGTTTGAAGTGACCTGAAACGCCTCACATGCACAGAAACAAAAAGCTTGCCATCAACATCTTTTTCCCAGTTACACAGATGATTTTCCTAAATGACAACGTTTAACTTTGTGTGACTGCTAAAGGAAGACTTTTCATTCAGGCTGATTTTCACTTTCACAGCTCTTCTGTGAACTACGTTAAATGAACTAAAGTAAGGCGTGAGAACTCCGTCAGTTAGCGCGTTCCACGCAATTTTTTTATGCCGCCTGATATCATTAGATCAGAGTTCTTCTTTGTGAAATGAGACTAATTTATCAGAGGAACTGTTTGATAAGTTGATTCACATTTTAAATGACAGTCTTCTACTGTCGGAGGAAACCCTGTGTTAACACATTGTTACATTGAATTAAGCCAAGCTCACATAATTCACTATTGTATGTGAACTGAATAAACTCGTCTGCCTCAACGGCGCAGTTTACATATTTTTATTACAACTGATTTATTAAATCGGATTTCTACTGAGTGAAACGTGACGTGGAATTGGGCAGAAGTTTGGATTTTGGACCACAAAAACACACTACTCAGAAAACATCTGCTCTGTGTCACATGAGAGCAAACTGTCACCCACCTGTTTGTCTGAGACTAGAAGTGCTGTCTGAAAAGTCACGTTAAATGTCCCGATCTCTGTAACAGTGTCCCCTCTTTTCTCCCGCCAGATGTGGAAGAAGAAGATGTTTGTTACCTCAGCTTTGTACCCGGTTGTGACAGTAACTTTGACAAGTGTACAGCGACAATGGATCAAAGTAACTCTGACCAGTTACTTCACAGATACGTGCATACGGACACACACACACCTTCTACACACACACACATGCATCGATATAAGCACACCTCGATTAAAACACACACGCAGACATGTACGCACACACACACGCACCCTCCTCCTCTGTCTCAGTCCGCGATTGGCTTGTCCTGGTTCCCTGTCCAGCAGCCTGACCAATGAGCTTGAAGCTGCTCCCCCAGAGTTTCTCTCTCCCCCTCGCCGCCCC